ATATCTAATGAACCAATCATGTGGCAGAGTTGTTGCCAGACAGGCTGGTCTGAGTATATCCGAAACTGCTGATCTGCTGGGATTTTACCACACAACCATGTCGAGGGTTTACAGAGAGTGGTCTTAATAAAGAAAAAATATCCACTCAGTGTCATGAAAATGCCTTGTTGATGTCAGAGGTTGCGTCAACATATGAAGAACTCTTTTTCATATCTCCGAAAGATGAACCAGAGTAGCAAAAGACCACTCCAGATGCCACTCATAACAAGAAACCGCGCGTACGGGATTGTTAAAATTGGACCTTAGAAGATCGAAAAACTGTTGTCTGGTCTGATGAGTCTCTTTGAAGTTCTGCAACATTGTAATGCTAGAGTCAGAATTTGGCTTTGACAAATTCCACAGCCTACCTGAGTATTTTTGCTGACTATGACCATGTCCTTATGACCACACTGTGCCCATCTTCACCTTATAAGGTGTCTGGCGAGTGGACATGATGAAAAAGAAATCTCTGGAAAAGCTACTAAATGAACCTTATACTGAAAGTCTATTGCCATGTGCTGCTTTCAAGGTCAAGACTAACATGCTTTGCGACATTGCTGCACACTTGCACACTTTCCCTCATTGGGTAACGGAGTGTGTTAAGTAACGCTCTGGTGTGGTGGATGTGCTCGCCTCACCCCTTTCAGGCAGACACGCGTGCCCTGACTGCACACAGTGAGGTTTTCCTTGGCAGCTGGTTTGGGGCAGAGCGGGGAGAGTCCTGAGCACACGCTCGCTTTCTGGCAGTCTGTCTCCTCGTTGCACCTCTGACCCTCTGGCTTAAACTCGCACTTCTGGCCACAACACAGGCCCTGACTTGGACTGATGAATGGAAGAGAAAAAACACCACAAACATGGCTGCACATGAGAGCTACATCTAAACTAAACAAAGCCTGCATCTCAAAACTAGAATATAAATAGTTTAGATGAAAGACTGATGATGAATATTTAAATTTATTAACCTCAAACCCATACATGATTGAACTACAAATATTCAGAAAGACTTGAACAGTTAATTACAGTTTTGGAAATCATTTTCGCACACTTTGGTGTGTACATGTGGAGTACCTGCAGATTTTACGAGGCTTGAGGTGACACTGGATTCCTACAGGCTCTTTAGCACTGTAGCAGCAGAGATCTGCATCTTTGTTACCGACATCACACTCCTCACCTTCCTCTATGATCTGGTTTCCACAGATGGGCTGATCACTGACTGGCCAAAATGAACAGACAAGCAGATAAACACACGAGCAGATGCACACATACAGATATAGCCTGAAGGCTGCAGCAACAAGTGCACAATGTAAACAGCACGCAGGACACTGATATTTCTTCCTCACCCGTGAAGCAGTCATCTTTCTTCAGCTTCAGGATGTTGCTAACGTGTTTGATGCTGCAGGGTGAGAATTTATCGTTGTTTTCACGCGCCCCGTCTGTGGCGTAAGGAAACATCAGGTACCTGCCTTTACCGCCATTGGAGCCGAGGTTGCCGCAGTTAGCGCCCTCATCGTGCTGAAACACAGACAAAACGCCAAGCATCTTCACTCGACTGTAAAC